GTGACCTTCAAGTCAAAAATAATCCATCGAAAATGATCTCAAATCTCAACTGCCTGAAGAGCATTCAATGCTTTGTATTTTGTTGACAATGGAAGCCAAACGTGCTTCTAGCCTCTTCTTCTTCTTTTTTTTGGTTTTTTTGTTGTTTTCTTTAATTTAATTAATTAATTTATTTTATTTTATTTATAGTGTCTACAGTTGCCCCTTTTTACGTATTCTTGAGAATCAAGAATAGAGCAAAGATGTAGACACTATATTCAACTTATCTTGAAACGAGTTTAGGCAATAAAATCCTCAAGCTTGACCTAAATTTGAAAAATTACAATTTCTAAGCTTGATTTAGACACAGCTTATTTCAAAATAAGTTCAATAAAAAAGAATGAAATTCTTAGGCTTGACCTATCTCAAAACAAGTTCAACTTAAAAATTAAAATTTTCAGACTTGATCTAGGCTCGACCTATCTTAAAACAGGTTCAAATTTAAAAATTGAAATTTTTATACTTGTTCTAGGCTCGACCTATCTCAAAACAGGTTCGATTTAAAAATTAAAATTCTCAGACTTGTTATAGGCTTGACCTATTTCAAAACAGGTTCGACTTAAAAATTAAAAATTCTTAGACTTGTTCTAGGCTCGACCTATCTCAAAATAGGCTCGACTTAAAAAGTGAAATGCCAACTTAATTGAATTACCATGAAAATGAAGGACTCAAATCCTTCCATCAAAGTTTTACCACTTCAATACCTTAGATTGGGTTAATTCCTAACTTCAAAGCTTGGAACATGAATGAATTTCAATTCTTATTTTTAAAATGATCATGTGCATGGCTAGGCATGTATGCATGATTTGGAATGATAGAATGCTTTCATGTTTATGATTCATTAAGGTTCCCAGACCCTTCTCTTGCTTCAACCAACTTTTCTATCGCAACTTTCAATCATCTTTGTCTGCACCTTTCTTTATCAGCTGATATTTTTAATTTTCCCTAGGCAAGCCCTTTTGACATTTGACCGCTTCTTTTCTTTCCTTTTTTCCTTTTTTTGTTTTTTTGTTGAGGCTTCATTTTCCCTCTACCTCATCTTTAAATCTTTCATCGAATAACAAATGTAATTTCTTGCTCAATTAGTTCATATCCTTACCAGTCATCATTCATTTCCATGACAATCATTATGTTGGATTATGTAATGGTGGAAAATAGGGTTTGGAATATAAAAAGAAAGAAGAATTTCACACATATATATAAGAGCGCAAAAAGGATCAAAAGAAGGGAAACTTACAAAGCAATGATTAGATCATTCAAATAATGAACACTCGGATCATTTAGAGTCGACAATCCGATCTTCTAATTTTGAAAATTGTCCTTGATTGATGTCCTGAGCAAATCCAAAGCTTCTGGATCCCATGACCTATCCTTGTCTTGTAAGATCGACGGACTTCATTTTCAATGCATTTCTCCTACTCCAGTTTGTACTTCATTTGAGCTGGCAAACTTCAAATCTCCATCCCCAAATTCCCTTTTTGATCTCAAACCGCCCTTTGCGAATTTTCAACATGAGCCACCTCATTTGGATTCTAGTTGTCTTTTTCGAATTTTCAACACGAATCCCTTCATTTTTTCATTTTTTTAGGCATAGTACTTCTTTACTGCATCTGCATTTATTGAACTAGGCAAGTCTCTTCTATCCATGTCGGTTAAAATTAAGGCTCTTCTTGAAAAAGCCTTTTTCACCACATATGGTCTTTCCCAGTTCAGCATCCATTTTCGACGAGAATCATTCTGGTCAAGGAGTATCCTTTTGACGACCAGTTCCCCTAATTGGAAATGCCCAGGATGAACTTTTTTTTCATATGCTCGCATCATCTTTCGTTGGTACATTTGACCATGGCAAAGGGCTACGAGCCTTTTTTCCTTAATCAGATTCAACTGCTCATAATGAGAGCGGATCCATTCAGCATTTTTCAATTTTGTCTCCATTAACACTCTCAAGGATGGGATTTCCACTTTAATGGGTAGCATTGCCTCCATTCCATATACTAGTGAGTACGGAGTTGCCCCCGTGGAGGTTCGTACAAAAGTTTGATATGCATGCAAGGCAAAAGGAAGTTTCCCATGCCAATCTTTATAAACTTCAGTATTCTTTTCAATGATCCTCTTGATATTTTTATTGGCAACCTCTACTGCTGTCAGTTAAAATTCTACCACGCAAGTATACGTATCGAATAGATAGTAT